AGGGGTATTTACCCTACTGCTGGAAGGCGAGGGGAGGATTTCGGATTGAAATTGAAACAAACGACGTTCGAGTTTACAGGAAAGTGAAGATTTCTTTTGAGGAAGCCACTGTTGGATAGGACAATGTATGTATAATATTGTGATTGATAAAGTTAGTAATGTCAATAGTAATAATAAAGCCAGAAGAGATATTATGAAAGAATATTTTGAGTCATTGTCCGTGAGAAATGAAGTACCTTAGCAAATGCAGCGTTTAGTCTGAAGTCATTACTTAAATTCAGATGGTTGACGAGGCTCTTAATTTTTGCTGATTTGTTTCGGTGGAATAAATTGCCACCATCTTCAGACCCAGAAAAACATCACCAATTCGAGATATTAGGGGCATGAAATTAAATCTTCGCGCGCCGTAAAACTTGTCATTGGACAGATTACTCTGACGCTTCGGCTGACTCTACTTCGTTAAAAGGTGTCTTTCGATAGGATGCCGAGTGAATGAAAGTGCGAACACATCCACCGGGAATCGAATCCCTGCCTTAGTCGTTCACTGCACAGCCGACGTTTAATTGTGTGCTTATATTAAATTATAATAAGAGATCCTATCGTTGGACCCGCGGCGCAAGAAGGCGCATGCGCGTGGTAGCTGCTCGCAGGACCCTGCGCTGCAGGAAGACAATAGAAAGATCTGGCTCTCTCTACAGGAGCCGTTCAGTCCAAGAATGGCTTACAACTTCGTCTTGAAACTGTTGTCTTCGTCAGAAGCTCTACAGTGACACACAGCACAGCATGCAGCCCTCCCGATTTAAATTAATCAAAATTTACCACCCCTTAACGCCGTCAAAATTTACCCCCCTCCCCTCAGTAGGAACTTCTAAATTATGTATTAAACTTCCAAATTAATAGCCTCAGCTTTCGCTAATACAAAATTTCAAAATTCCGTCTCTTATGCCAATCACTCTTACTTTATCCTTAACAGAAGGACGAGCGGGCATTGCCTGGGGACCTTCTAGCTATACGATGCTCTTTCTCCCCCCCAGATATCGAAGTGTCTCTCACTTCTCCCCCACCAATTTCCTCTCTCTCTCGCTGTAGTGTCTGAGTAAGAACAAGGGCTGAATTGCAAGTGTCTCAAAACAAAATGCGAGGAGAAATAGTGATCAAGCGTGTTCTGAGGCCCGATTACACAACGGGAAACTTTTATAATTGTACGTTTTACCCGGTGAAGTGATGGGACAGACATGTAGTAGGGACGAAGTACGGAAAGTGCTTACGAATTCTGTGGGGACTGATTTTGGTTTACTGTTATCGAAAGGCTGCGAAGGGGATTAGAAGGATAATATTAATATGGATCTCGGGAGGAAACTGCAGAAAAGAGAGTTGGGTTGAACTGGCTTAGCTCTGTTGACAGGTATTGGGCACTACCGATTGTTTTTAAAGTTATGTTAACTGCGGAAGGAGTTAGGACAAATACGTAAAACAAACGAAGTGCTTCCGGTAAAACACTTGACGAGCGTCTGTCTTGATAGAAATTAGACGTCTATCAGAACACGTGCTGGCTGTCCTTGTGACTTGTTGCTTTCATGCTCGGAGCTGTCGGCCGGTGCAGAATAAAGGTTTCTGATCGGAAAATGAAACTGTGTTGGCTCCGCCACGCTCGGATCCACTCCGCTGAGCCAATCCGCCCAACTGCGGCGTCTGGCCGGCGATAAGTCGCCAGGGATTAGGTAGGGCCTGCAGGCCGCCATTGTTCTTGGAGATCTCGCACAAGTTATAAATTCCAAAACGTGACAGTTCTCTTCTTGGACGAAGTGCCGGAAGTTCCTCTGTGTGTTTTCACATTCTGCGTTTTGCTGCTCGTTCGTTTGTTAGTGTCCTCTTCTCATTGGCTTCGTGGCTTTTGGAGTGCTCAGACTTCACAAACGCAGGCTTAGAGAACGCTGAATCAATTGAATCAGTTCTTAGGCGCAGGCCTGCAAAACACTGCTTGGTCTTTCCAAAGCAAAAGATTGAAATGCACGAGACTACATTCCCGTTGTTTTTGTACGGGCGTGGAACTTAGGTCTTGCCTCCACGGGGGGGGACCAGATTGAGGGCGTTATTGAAAACCGGAAACTGAGAGGGGAACTTGGTTCAAACACAGAGGAAATCAGAAGAAAGGTGAGAAAAATTAATGACGTTGAGCTTAATAGTTTGAAATATTCAGCAGGTATTGCCACTTTCGCCGGAAAACGTGAAGAGGGAAAGAAATTTGAAGAACCTGTCGTAGATGGCACATTTTATTGTAATGGATCTTAAAAAGGAATTCGGTGTGTGGGTGTGGACTGGATTCATCTGACTCAGGATAGGAACTGTCGGGTCCTGTAAGAGGCAGGGGACATCTTTTATGTCTGAGTCTGCAGTGGTTCCTCGAGTATAACTTGGCTTTGCGGAATGTTACGAAGCGAAATGTCTGAAATGGAAGAACGTCGACGAAAAAGGATGGATAGAAAGAAAGAAAGAAAGAAAGAATAAACAGTCGTACAAAATCAACGTCTGGGAGCGTTAGTTACGGCTTTTGAGAAGTTCCGACCAGCATGCACATAACGTGACGTCATTACGTATTTTTGCTTCTAGAAAGGTGTGAAGGCGTATGAGAGATTTTGACAGATCGAATCAAGGAACAGGAGGAGTAATGTTCCAAGGTTGCAAGGGGACAGACTAGGAACTAACGCTCAGTGCCACAAATGAAAAGACGACTCGTGGGTTGGAAGAAGCTTTTTCTGAAAGGGTCCAGTTGGGACGAACAGGAGGAAATATTGATTTCCGTCATTTATCCAAGAGACGGACGGACGGAAGCAAGTCGCTGCTCGCAGGGTCGGAACACGGAGCGCTGTGCCTTGTGATCGTAACAAAACAGTGCGCTGCCTGCCGGTCCTGATAGGGAATCTGATGTCGAGGGTTAGGACTGCTCACACGTGCGATCTGAGTAACAAGCCAATTTGTCTGTAAATGGGCTAGTGTGGTTTCAGCCATTTGCGGCGGTGAATAATGCCGAATATGGTTGACGTGCGAGACAATCGGACATGGGCTGGGTGGCCGACAACCTCAGACTTCGCTTCCCTGGCAGCCTCTAGTAGGCCCAGGATGGCGCTCCTCGCCCGAACGGCTGTACCACGCGCGGGATCTCCTGGCAGATCAGGTGTTCGGCGACCCTGACATCGCCTTATAAATCGTGGAGTGGCATTTCGATTTAAGGCGAAGCATGTCTTGCCTGTGCGTAAGGCTTTCGTGTGTCAGCGTCATGTTTGAAAGTCTGCAGCGACTGCGTAAGAGCCTGTTTCGTGTTTGTTTTGTTGTTTGCTTACGCTTACAGACGCTAGACGTAGGTGTCAAATGATCATTACGGAACATAGAACTTGTTATTCATTCGTTGGTTGATTGATTGATTCATATGTAGATTTAACAATGATCTTTTATCTGTAGAGCATCGTTTGATGTTGAAAGACCGATAACGCGATGGATACATCAGTGAATTTATTGCTTGTTTCGTGATTGTCTCCCTTCTGAGGCCAGAAGTAAGCGCGGAAATAAGATCAAAGAGGACTGGACGAGACATGGGAGAGACCAGAAAAGCGTACACAGATTTTGCCAGAAATCTGGAGGGATGAAAAAGTTTGGGAGACCTAAACGTCAGCAGGAGATGAATCTTAAAGAACTATGACATGACTGTGAGGACTGGATTAATGTGGCTCAGGGTACGAACCAGTGGCGAGCTCTTTTGAACACGGGGTTTCCCCTCTGCAGGAACTGAACATTAAAAGAAAAAAACTGTAGTCATTTCTGCTCTGACTGAGATGCATAATTGATGCGCGACTCTGTACTTTGCAATCCAGAATAAGTTCACCTACCCCTGGCTCCCCCCCCCCCACCATTACCCTATCCTCTTAAAGTTTTTAATCAGTCTACAAATTCTCTTCCTCTTTGTCGCACTGATTGCTATGGCTAATTGCTGCACCTCTGAGACGCTATTAAAGCAACACGGTCTTCTGAGACAGTTTATTTTTAGAAAACTGTTCCTAATTTCTTCTCTTTTCTGAACCCTTGTTCTATCTCCGCCGCTATCTTCCCTCGCGCTCGTCGTCGTGATAGCTGACTGCATCCGATGTTCTATCTCCGCCGCAAATTCCGATTGTCTTAAGCCAAGATTTTACGACATGAACTCGCAGTATAAAAAGAACCCGGTCTTTCTTACAAGCACCGGATTATCATTGCGATGTGCGTCTATGGATAGCAAACAGTCATGTCGGAAATAAACCATCCGAGATTTTACCCAGCATTTAAGAACCAGTCTGTCGGCCATTTTGTACATAATGCAGGTTAAAAATTAAAACCACTTGAATAATACAAAGCAAATTATCAACTCATTACCGCAGAAGAAGATAATTGAAGTCCGACTCCGCGTGAAAAATGCACTTTTGTCAGAAAACCTGAATACAAGAGACCGCTTGGAACACAGATGTAGTCGTTGATGGGAGGATAATATTAAAGCGGATAACTGAAGGGTGTGAGTGTGTTCACTGGCTTGAAGCTACTCAGGATCGATTCCATTTATGGGATTTTATGATCACAAAATGACTGTCAAAAGACGATCATTTTTTTGACTAGCTGAGCAACCGTAAGCTAATCAGGAAGTGGGTTGTGGGATGCGACGTGGAAGTGAATGGCTCTTTTAGTGAGTGCAGAATCTTTCTGGAGTGCTAACGAAGAAAGTCGGTCCAGCGTATATCTGATTCTAGGATCACATTTTAATGATGATAATGAATGTACGAGAGCTGAAAGACAGTTTACAAAATAAAATGTAACTTTGCCCGTGTAGGGCGGAACGGCGTTCGCTGTGGTGTTAAGGACGCAGCATAGAACGGCCATAGGTGACTGTGTTCAGTGCTTCATCACACGCGGCGTCTGTTTGTACGAGTTAGTAAAACACTTTTCTGGTGTCTGGGAAATACATGTTCTGTTCTTACCTGAAATCTTCTCATGTCCCGAGGGTTTCCCGCGTTCTTGAGACAATTCTGATTGCACTTGAGGAAAAACTTCAGGAAGAACCTGTGAACAGACGGAAAATTGCCAGTCAGTTAAATTAATACGAGTTATAATGTGACAGGTGTTTCTGGAATAGGGCTATACAAAATAAAGTATTTTAAATATTGTAATTAATTTAAGGCAGAGTACAAAATACTGCCATGCAGTTTCGTTAACAAACATCATAGAACAAAGTCTTTCTTCGTTTAGGTTATCAAGAAATACCCATCGTTCTGTGGAATGAGAGGTTTCATTACCTTGTTTAAAGCTCCCCGTGACTGGACCCTGTCCCGAGTAAGATGAACCTAGTTTACGTGTTCGCAGTTTGTTTAAGAACACTTTTAATATTATCCTTCCATCTGCGTCTTTAAACGTGGCCTCTCTGCCTCAGGCATTGAACGAATTTGAGTGTGGACGAATTACGTACGCGTATCTGCGCGAACTTGTATGCCGTATGTACCCAGAGATCGTTCCGTTCAAAGTTCAGCGACCGGTTTGTTCTGCTTGCGTCGTGTGGCAAGCCTCAGGAGATGACAAGTAAAGAATGTGTAAAGTGGGGTCCAGCATCCCCAGTGTGCGGGACTTAACGTCCCAATTGCCATTCGTAGTGCCAGATCGTTCTCCCGCTACGACCGGGCTAAATAATCCATGAGGCCGAGTGCACCGGGCCCCTACCAGCAGGGAACGCGAGGCGCTCCGGGGAATCACCACGTAGCCCGGAGGAAAACTACGCGACTGACCGCGGTGGAGGAACGCAGTTGCGTGAGAATCAATCTGCCACCGCCTTTTGTTCTGACCAGTGATGTGATATCGCATTTCGACGAATGTTCGTCATGAGATTTGCACATTTTAATTGCATTTATATTAAGAAACATTCGAATCACTTATTTTTACGATTAGCTAAATTTGAGGCGAATTTTAATTGGACTTATTTTAAAGTTCGTATATATAAATTTTCACCCGTATAAACCAGAATTTATAGCGACACATTTGAATGTATCTCCAATACTAAATTTCGTCGACTGAAGGGCAGTCACGACCTTCGCGCTGTTTGTTAGTCGGAGAAGAGAGGAGCTAATGGCAATTTTTGGCCACCAAATGCAATAAATGATGCAAGAATACGAGAAGAAATTTCCTGAAATTGTAATCAAAACGAGGGTCACACATTAAAGACTTGAATAATATATTCGCAAAAACAAGCATATTAATGAAACAATTGTTATGTGCTTACTTTTCATAACAAAACTGTCGACGAGTACGTGCAAGTTTTTCCCGAGGACAACTGCACGTATTTTAGTTATCAGTGGTGGACTGGCTGGCTGCCTGTTCCTGCCAGTTTTTATTGTGTGCTGCTAATATTGAAATTACTGTCTTTTTCATTCACGTGTTCTATACTGTATATTTATCAATTATATCAAAACAACGGGCTGAATTGTTTTCCTGTACTGTGTTGGAAACGTGGAAGGGTTTCTCCATGTTTGCACAAGACTGGGAAAACTGCCGTGGACCTTTTTTCACCACACACACACACACACAGAACCCAAACATTGCTCATGTCACAATACAGTTGTTTGCAAAATCTGGTATGCAGTGGCAAACGAATTCGAGAGGTTTCCATTGGAACACGAACGTTAGCTCCATTCCACTGACACAGTATCAGCCGCAGTGTGCTGCAGGAATGGCTGTTACAGTGGCGGATTTACAGAATTGCTTGCTTTTCATAATGTGTGCAAGGAGTGAAAAATAACTTAGTGGAATCCGTTCTTGAAAGGGTCTTCTTGAAGTACAGAAAGGTCGTAGGGACATGACATGATGGATGTGCCTGAGATAGGTTGTGAGCATGGGAGCTGGATGGAACTGGCTTAGGGTCGAGTCATATTGGTGGATTTTGGTGATAGAAGCCGTGTGCTACCGCAGCGATAGTCTATTATCATCACCATTATTACATTAAAATTAATGCCTTTCCTGTGTCTGAGCTCAGCGTCGGAGGGTGACCTAGACCTCGAAGTTAACTGAGCTGAGTGATCAATGCCACAGCCCGACCTCTTCACCGGTGGACGGGGACCTCGTGTGGACCCAGAGCGTCGGGGAAAGACAAAAAGTGAGCTGTAAGCGTACAGGGAAGGCGTCTGTTGGGACCGTAGTGCCTTTGCTACTAAGAACGGGATGCGGGTTACAATTAAGGAACTGCGTCTCGTTGTACGCGAGAGAATCGGACGGATAACAAGCGATATTGCAGCCTGCACGCATGGCTTCTCCAGATGGACAGCTGCTTAGAGCTGGTACATAAGAAGAACTCATGTCAGCGTAAGACTGGCTCTTCTGAACAGAGTTTTGGAGAAGGTTTCCTGCACCTAGACGGGCCAGGCGAAATTTTGGATGCTTTAGCATTTGTAGAAGATTATCCTCGTGTTGGTTTCATACGTGGAGAACGTAGTCATTTTGTAAATAAGTCACCAGAAGGTGACACCAATGAATTCAACGGCACTGTGAGTGAGCCAGTCCGCCGCTGTGCTCCATCCTCACGACAGAATGAAATGGTCAGACCGACACCAGTTGTTAGTTAGTCGTGCTTTTTGTGGTCGGACAATCAGAAGTTAACACACACGATTCGTGTGCTCTGATTTCATTGGACGCGACACAAAACATGCCCTCATATACATAACAGCATGCGATGAAAAATTCAGCGTTCACCCAACCCCTCCCCGTTCGCCCCCCACATTTTTAAAAACAAAACACTACATCGAACAGAAAACAATTTCAGGTCCTTTAAAAATACTTTTTCTATATCACTGTTAATTGCAGCGTGGTTCTAGTGTAAGGAATGGCAGAACTGGCTTGTTCGAAATTATTCAACTCCTCATAGACACACATTTGATTGTTCTTATAAAGATATCTTCACACTCAGGTCTGTATTGCGCTATTATGCAATTGTTTAGTGCCGTCTCCTAAGATCTGTACTCAAGCGTCAATCCGCCTAGTGGTCTGTTTACAAGAAAATTTTGTTTGTATTTCTTGTGTCATGACCTGCAGATGGCAGCATCACGCGACGATTGTCCCTGCTGCCTTTGGTCTTCTGGGTTGTGACGCCTTGCGGGTTTGTACGTGGTTACAGACATTTAGGAGGAATGTATCGCCTCCATCTTCATGGTCGCGGCCAGCTGCTGAGATGAGTGGCACTGAATGGACCCTTATCGACCTTAAGGACGGAGGCGGCACGATTCTCTGAACACAACGGCAACCATACGGAAGGATACCATTCCGCGACTTCGCCGTTGTGCGTTTGTTCCTTCAGAGTGAGACGCGGTGTGAGCTGCACAGCAAGTATCGATGTATCGATAATCGAGATGCGATTTAACTTCGCATTTTCAGCGAGTCTGTCACGGTCGGCCCTGCTTTGTGATTCAAGAGTACAAATGTTGCATAAAAGCTGATGTAGAGGACATGGATCCAATTATCGCTGGCGATTATAATTGAGTTTCGCAAGTGTTATTTTGAACTCGCTATTGGAAACATATCAGGAATTTAACTACTCTGTTTGAGCAGATTAGAGATAGGGAGGGTTTTTTTTTTTGCCATCTGAGTCATTATCAGTCATCCCTTCTCACACTCATTCAATCACTGCTCAGTTACTCACCGACCATCACGCAGTTAGCTAATAAAATCGAATATGTACATCAGTTTCATGTCACCTACCGTCAGCACATCGCGTTGCTGGTTATTTGTGGTTCTGACTTCGTCTCGTCCTTAAAGCGGTTTATTGTACTTCTTATAGGCCTCGAAATCAATAGTTTTTAACTTATCTTAAAGTCATTATGATTAAACACGGACTCTTGTGGACCCAGGACGTTTTATTCCGTCGCCATTTGGAACATATTTTGTCTTAATACTTGTTTATCGAAGAACTTACACTTTGAAAGGTTCCAGTAGCAATTTCGCGTGGTCACAGGTTGGTCGAAGCTACGAGTGTGGAACGGTCGCCATTGGTGGCTGTTTGCACAGAGTTTGAAAAAAAAAAAAAAGGATAAATTTGTTTCTATACTATTTATGACTAATCGAATCAAATGAAACAACTGTAAAGAACGGACATGAGATTATTGAGTCTTCTTGAAAGTAAAATTATGTTGTCCTTTTATGTAGTGCCATGTTCAATCTCCGAAACATTTTAAATCATGATGAATATGCCTGTCTTGTGGGAGTTTGCGCGCTATGTAATCTGGTAGATATTGGCTGACGTTTCACGGGTACTTACTACCTTTATCATCGGGGTGGTATACAGTGGTGATAAGCTAGTAAGCACTTCTGAAACGTCGGTCAGTTTTAAGGGGAATATACGACGCAAAGTCCCAGATGACATCCATCTTCATGGTTGTCAGACATACGAGAATATCTGTTCACTTTTAATTCGGAAGAAAAATGTTCCGATGTTTGCGCGTGTAGAGGAATTATTAATGCATGCATGGAATGTAATAAGGACTCGGGTCCATGCAATAAAATTTCTTATTTTATTATTCGCTTGCGTTCAGACAGTCTTGAACTGCTGAGGCTGTTTCTGTGTGTCGATGTTCACAGAGCGTCGCACTAGTTGCAGTGACCATAGGACAAGATATGTAATAATTCATAAGAGAATTCCATTTCCATGTTTTGGTTGTCATTCATTGGGGGCACTTGTGTGAGGCTGGAACACTCACACACACCGACCATATTGTATTGCAATTGGGTTGTTTGTGTTTGCGCGCGCCAGAATTCATGCACATTTAAATCTCGTGTTTCAATTTGTCACTCCGACGTGATACATCGCATCTGGACGTGATTGAAACATTGTTGGGGGGGGGGGGACACTCGACCTGGCTCTGCACTTTGACACGTCGCATCGCGCTATTCTGATTGACATCACCTCGGCTGTCCCTCATATACCACTCCACATCGACTCTTACCAATTACGGAGCGAACGTTCTGAACATGAAGCCAAGGATAATTTTAAAGATTTTTGAGTTGAATGTCTGCCCGTCCGAATGCGGAAC